TTTAACCAGACATGGATGGAGCTGGCTCTCCAATAGCCAGGTGTTACGTTATCAGCTCCTCTTAACAGAACACCCAGACGTTACACTGGAAACTTGTCAGGCCTTAAATCCAGCCACACTCCTTCTGGCAGAACCAGGAGAACATGAAACTGTAAAGAATCCGTACTAACAGGGTCAGCAGGGAGAAAAGATTTAAAGAATACCCCTTTGTTGGACCCAGGGGACATTTGTTTTAGGGATGGTAGTAGTATGGTGACAGATGGACATCAGAGAGCTGGGTATGCGGTGGTCTCCCATACTCGGGTTCTCGAGAGTGGCCCCTTACCACCAAGTACCTGAGATCACAAGGCTGAGCTAATAGCCCTAAGGCTGGCACTAGGACTGGCCAAAGACAAAATAATGCAAATATACACTGACATTAAATATGCCTTCCTGGGGGGTATAGTTCAGTGGTAGAGCATTTGACTGCAAATATGCTTTCATGATTCTCCATGCCCATGGCCAAATTTGGAAGAAGAGGGGTGACTCTCAGTTAGAAACTCTCTGATCAACATACAGAAGGAATTCAGAAACTTTTACAGCAGTGTATTTACCAACAGAAATGCCAGTCATGCATTGTAGAGGCACCAAAAAGAAGGGGACAGTGCACAGGGAAACAACAAAGCTGATCAAGAGGCCAAGAGGGTGGCAAGGGAAGAGGAGTTTGTATCTATGGCATTACTGGTCTTACCTGCACCCTTAGAAGTACAAGACAGGTGGGTCTATTCCAAAGAGGATGAGGACTGGCCAAGGGAAGGGGATTCACCTTTACTCCATGGGATGGTGGGAGCAAGAGGGAAAGCCCTTCATCCCTTCTAATATTTCTCAAAAGGTGATCTCTAGCTTCCATCAAGCCTTCCATGTGGAGGCCAAGTCTTTAAAGATCCTTTTAGGAAAAATAGTGATTATCCAAGAATTAGACAAATTGGTCAAATAAGTTACTGCTTCGTGGAACCTGTGTATGCAGAATAACCCACCAGGGGGCGCTCCCCTGCCTTTGTTGCTAGAGCTGAAACAGCTGTGAGGCAGGTAACCGGGAGGAAGACTGGCAACTGGATTTTACTGTGATGAATTAGTGCAGAGGTTTCAAATATCTTTTGGTATTGGTGGACACCTTCTCAGGATGGGTTGGGGTGTACCCAACCCGTACAGAAAGGGCTGCAGAGATATGTAAAACATTGTTGAGATATCATATCTTGCTTTGGTCTTCCCCTGAGGCTTCAGGGTGATAGTGGATCAGCATTTACATCCAAAATAACCCAGGGACTGACAACTGCCTTAGGAGTAGATTACCACTTACACACCTCCTGGCAGCCTCAGCTGTCTGGCAAGGTGGAGAGAACCAACCAAACTTTTGATTGTCCCCAGAGGGACACTGAAACTCAGTCCTTTCGAAATCTTATGTGGCCAGCCATTCCAAGAACAAGTTATCAGGGAATGTGTTGAGGCTGTTATCTTCTAAAACACATCATAGAAAGTACAACAGACATTGTTGGACTAAGGGCAACAAGTCCTGACTGGTCCCCAGGAAGGGAAAAAAAATCACTTCCACCATGCAATGACAGAGGGTGGGGGTGGGGGGATGACTGGATCCTCCTTAAAGATTGGAAAGAAAGAGGCCCTACCCGTCAGTTAGAGCCCATGTGGAAGGGCCCATATCAGAACTTGTCTACCCCCACAGGAGTGCAAGTGAAGGGCATCTCGAGCTGGGTGCACATCTTGAGAGCTAAACCGTAGACACTCAGAGCCCAGACGCCAGCAAGGATGCTGAAACCACAGACACCTACTGAGTGTGAACCACCTGAGGGATTAAAGCTTCTCTTCAAAAGGTAAAATAATTAAGCCTCATGGGCTATGCCACCATAGATAGTAAAGAATCTCTCCATATATTTCCTGATCTTTCTTATGTTAGCCTTTGCTGGAATCCTCTGCATATTAGATACATTGTGCCATGAAGGAATAATTCTGTGCTTGCTAATTTTCAAGCACCCATAATTTCCATATTTTCATTATGATTTCACTTTTCTTCCTCTTACTACGTTTCTTCACTATTAACAAGTATGACCTGGTTGCTAACATTCCTGGGACCTTTAGTGGCTATAGTCCTTCTATTAATATTTGGCTCATGTATTTTTAATCTTCTACGTTTGTGGGTCAAGGTTTCAACAGTTTCAACAGTGAAACTTATGCTAGCTTGGGGATTTCACCCCACATCTGAACAAGATAATATTGCCACCCATGGAGCCACTAGATAAGACCACAAGTAACATCAACCTGTAACTCTTAAAAAAGCCTGAAGAGCTGTTTAGCTCCAAGCAGCTAGAGAAGATGGGTCTTTGGCCTCAAGCCCCAAAGACTTTCAGGCTCCATTCTCTCATGGGAATGTTAGGCAGGGACCAAATCTGCAGGTGGCAGATACAGGCCAGGAGGGCAGTTCCTAGGGGCAGAGAAGCTGGGGAAGGGACTTCAGAAAAACGCAGCTAATAACTGCAACGAGCAGGAACTTGAGGATTTGAGGCACACACACACACCTGTGGAGCTGCAGCTTTGTTATAATAACACCTGTCAATCATCTGGTAACATCCCACACCTCCTGTAAGCCCCCCACACCAGACCAAGCCAATAAAAGGAAACCCGCTGGGCATCCTCAATGTCTTTCTCCACTCGTGGAGACAGACCCGTTCCTCTCTGGGACGTAATCTCTCTTTGTATAGACCCCTTCTCTGCGATGAAAGCTGTTTGTGTGGAATTGCTTCCTATCTGTGATCACTTCGTTACACAGGCCCTGCTTGTGAATTTTCCAAGCAAGGAGCCAAAGAATCAGGATAACAGTCCACCAAGAGGCTGGGCCTGACAACGCCAAGGGAGATAAAGGTTCCAGTGTTCTAGATACAGATTCACCCTCAGGTGGGGTATGAAGTTTTAGATGCCATATGCTCCGTGTTCTCATATATTTAACTTATGAGAGTGATTTCATGGCATTATAAATAAGGATTAGAAAAGGTAAAAAAAAATCAAATCATCCCACCATCCTAATGTACTTCAGACGAAGATTTAGAGGAGCAGCAGCTCAGGTGGAGAACAAGTACAAGAGCCTTGAGACATAAATGAGCCTGATCAGGTGTTCAAGGAACAGAAAAGGCCATGCAGCTGGTGGGCAGCGATGTCTGCAGGACGTCAGCGGGTCTCCTGCTGCACATCTGTCTTTGTGGGTGTCCATCCAGTTCAGAAACCAACAAACTTCCTTTCTCTAGTAATGCTCCCCCAAATGTGCTAAGCCAGGTGGGGGATGAGGTGTGGACCTGGTGTGTGCAAACAGGGAAGGGAAGACAGATACAGGTGGCTCCTCTCTCCAAGGAATTTGGAATTGAGACACGGGAAGGGTCAAGGCAGTCACTCTGGGCTGGTGAGACTGCCTTGCAAACCTGGACGCTGTGGGAAGGTGCTGTGGTCTCCACTCAGCCAGAGAGATGGAGGAGGCAGGTCAGCAGGGAGAAAGTCAAGGACCAGAATTCTGCAGTTAACTTCTGGTCACTCCACCCTGAGGGCCAGCTGCATTCTGTCTCAGGTTCTGGGAAACTGCCTGTATCCTTATCATACATTCCCTGGTTAGAGGAGTGTTTTGAGGAAAGAGTTCTATGGTCAAATAATTTGGGAAACACTGTGTTTAAACAAAGTTTAATAGCTTTTTATCTGCGGGACTACTCAGAGCCTTTAACAGGACTGTACATGTGACTCTCCAAAGCGAACTCCAGAGAGCAGCATTCCTTACGTTGATTTCTCAGGCCACACTGGGGATGCAACAGGACGTTAAGCTTGGGGTGTTCAGCCTGTTTCAGTGAGTCCTGAAAAGCCAACAAGAGTGGAGGGGCCTAACATTCTGATCACCAGGAACACACCCATTGTTGAAAAGACTCATTGCAGCAAGTAATTTTATCCAGGATGGAGAAGGGAGAGATTGAGAGATACCTGAAGGGATAGAGAGAAAGAATACAAGTATCTTTTGAGTGCTGTCCATCTGGTGCAGCCTTTCAGTAAAACTGCTGAAAGAGTATAGAATCATCCTAGTACTCTTGTCAACTCCAAAATCACATCCCAGTAAGTGATGTGAGCCCTGTCACGTGGCCACCTAAAATATATGTCATCCACAAGATGATTTACCATCTGCACTTAGAGATTCGGATCTCCATTTGCTCTGATGGTTCAGAAAGGGTTAGATTGAAACCATGGGCTTCACCACTGACTCCCAAGCATCTCAGGGCTTGTTCTTCATTTCCCTTTTCATTCACAGGCCACTTGTCCTTGCTGGGTGCCCCATAAATGACCAGGACAGATAGGCTCCCAGAAGCTCCTCGTCTGATGACTTAGAGAATGAAGATCCAAACTGACACTCTGCAGAGAGGGTGGGGAGAGTGAGGCAGAGGGTTTGGGGAGGTGTTGGGGGCGCAGGGGTGTGAGTTTGGGGGAAAGGAGGGCCTGAGTTGGGTTAGGCTAGGCCAGGCCAGGGGCTATGTCTAAGCTTTACAGATGCCAGAGGAGGAGGCAGCGTTTCAGGCCCTGGGGGGCCAGTTAGAGGACCCCGAGGCAGGGGCTGGGGCAGCCCAGCTGAGCTTGTCTGTTGAGTGCCTCGAATGCCCAGCTGAGACTAGACTAGACTGCATATTGCAGACTGGGTGTAGGAAACAGGTTTTAGGTGATGTTCATCCATGATAAGTCACTTGTACACATGCCTCGGGTAGTCATAAACCGCCCGTGGCAGTACTTGGTCCACCGCCAGTGGCGAACGTGCCATTGTTGCTGACGCCTGCGCGGGGCGCTGAGGTCCGAGGGCTCCCGGGCTGGCAGGTTTGTCTTCAGAGCCCGATGGGAGCCAGGTCGGCGGCTTGACCCCGCCCCCTTGCACCTGGGCCCGCCCCTGGGGGCGGAGACTTCCGGAGCTGAGGACTCCGCCTGGAGCCGAGCGCAGGGGCTGCGCAGAGCGGCTCAGCCTGCCGCAGACGCTGCGGTTGCGGGCGCCTGGGAGGCTGCTGAGCTCCGAGCGCTGAAACGGCGCCGGCGAGTCCCAGCAGGACAGGGGTGGCGCAGCGACGAGTCCTCGCGCTTGGAGGACAGATGTGCCTGGGCGTTGAAGTTCGCGGCCTCGAGCTCGGGTGAAGCTCTTGGGAAGGGCAAGACGGCGGCGAGATGCCAGCGGAGGAGCCCCGCGCCTCTGGTGCCCCGGGCGCCCAGGGAACCCAGCGCGCGCCGGGCCCCGAGCTGCGCCTGTCCAGTCAGCTACTGCCCGAGCTCTATACCTTCGTGGCGCGCGTGCTGTTCTACCTGGGGCCTGTGTACCTAGCCGGCTACCTGGGGCTCAGCGTAACCTGGTTGCTGCTCGGCGCCCTGCTGTGGTTTTGGTGGCGCAGGAACCGCCGCGGGAAGCTCGGGCGCCTGGCGGCTGCCTTCGAATTCCTGGACAACGAACGCCAGTTCATCAGCCGCGAGCTGCAGGGCCAGCACCTGCCAGCCTGGGTGAGCCGAGCTGGGCCGGGGTTGGAGGTCGGGCAGATGCCTTTCGAGGTTCGGGAGGAACCTGCCGTCAGCCGGGGATCTGGGGCGCGCAAACACGAGGGTGGGCTGGAGCCCCGCGACCCGCACACCCTGTTCCCCATCGTGCTCGACATGCAGGCCCTGGGGTCGGCGGCCGTCCATCGCCGCGGCCTCCCTCATCCTCACGCCCTTCTCTGGGCCGGCTGCGGTGGGAGCGGGGAACCTGGGTTTCAGTTAAGGGCCCAGAGCCTGAGAGAACAGTCTAGGGCGGGCCACACCCAGGAGAAAAACAAGGGCGTGTGGAACTTTGCAAAGTTACTTGTGAGGGAAACAGAAGGTGTTTCTTCCACCTGCTTGTTGATTCAAAGAACGAACGCAGGACGCATAACGCAGATGGACAAATACAGCACTGGCAGAAACGGCGGACCCTAGTTGCGCCCAGCAGAGGCGGGAGCGGGGCGGGCCCGCGGGCTGCAGGTGGGAGTGCCGGGTAGCAGGCCGACTGCGCAGGGCCACGGCTCCCCGCCCTGCCCGCCGGGGATGCGCGCACTCTCGCACGCACACGCGGTAACACGCGCGCTGCAGCTGCACGCCCGTCTCCCGGGGTGGAGTGGCCGGGACTACGGTCCCTCCAACGCTTCTGGTCCCGAGAATCGCCTGGCTCACTTGAGAAAACTGAGTTCTGGGTCCCTGGGTACAACTCCCAGGGTGGGGCCAAGGCAGCCCGGGGGAGTCTCATGATTAGGTGAGTTTGGGAAACACTGGAAGAAGGGTGTTCAGTCCGAGGGTTGGTCTGGGCAAACCTGTGCTGTCCCTCTGGACCTGGGGGCTCTGGCTTCGCAGATTTCTTCCCGATACACTCAGGCCCACGAGGAGTGGGGTGTCCAGAGGCTACCAGAACCCTCGTTTTCTCCAGCCTGTGGCCTGTCTCTAAAACCCAACTGGGCCATAGGATCTTCATGACAGTAGCCTACAAAGTAGGGTGTGAGAAGAAAATATTAGAAAGACCCATTTATTTTAACAGAAATGAAAGGGCAATTAAGCCTTATTGTAAGAGGCTGCTCAGGCTTCCATTACAAAGTACCACAGGCTGGGTGGCTTAAACATTTTTTCCTCTCATTTCTTGGGGCCCGGAAGTTGGCGTCTCCTCAGGCCTCTTTCATTGCTTGCAAATGGTGGTCTCTCTCTGTCTTCCCGTGGTCTTCCTTCTGTGTGCGTCTGTGTCTTAATCTCATAAGGACACCAGACGTATTGGGTTGGGGCCTACCCTAATGACCTTTTTTTAAGTTAATTCTTTAAACACCCTAACTCCAAAAACAGTCACATTCTGAGACACGGGGGATTAACACTTCAATATGTGAATTGGGAGGGGGCACACAATTCAGCCCACTGGACTTACTAATATTTCAAGTACAGCAAAGCTTACAAGTAAAGCTTTGTAAGTAGGTTTACATGTTAATATATTGGGGATGAAGGGGCCAAAGACTTTTACTGATAAGGGTACATGATAAAAAAGCATAGTGACCACTTTCCTAAGATAGCAGCCGTAGGGGTAGTGGGTGGGTCCCGACTCCCCCAGACCTCCCCATCCTTGGCGGTTCTATGAGGGCTTGCGATTCTGAAAGGTGTGGACCCAGAGAACAAGCCTGACCTGTCCACATCCCTTGTTCACTGTTGAGGGAGCCCAGGCCGCCTGTCAGACCTCTGTTGTGACCCCATGGTGATCTCGGCCCATGAGGGTGAGCCTGTGAGACCTCGCCAAGTAACAGCCCTCCTTTTCTCCCCTCCTTGTATTAGGTAAGCCGCTAGACACTTAGCAGTATGCAAAGGCAGCGTTTCTGAGACTGGGCCAAGAATCAGATCCTGCAGGGGCATCGACACCCTCCCCCCTCCCACACCATAGAAACAGTTCTGGCCTCTGAAGGGGAAAAGGACCCCAGGAGCAGCACGACCTAGCCAACAGGGAGCTCAGCCTGAACACAAGAAGGCACCTCCTGGGTTTTCACTCCACAATCTGTACCCCATGCCTGACTCAGTTTGGCGTAGGGACACACAGAGGAAGGTGATGGTGTCTCTCCTACCAAGAGGGCAGACTTAGGCAGGAGACAGAAGCATAACAGGTAATTGCCACAGAGGTCCTGGGGAAGTCGGAGGCCTGGGGTAAAGGACATCCTGCCTGGTTTCCATATTGGAGTTCCCAAACCACAGCCTCCTGCCTCCTTGGAGGGGTCTGGCCTCAGCCTGCATTCTCCAGATTCCCCTGGCCAGCTTATCTGGCCAGTTTGCAGGGTCAGAGCCCGGATGCCCGTTGGATTGAGGCATTGCTGCTGCAGAGGGCATTCCAGGCCAAAGGAGGCTTGGGCACAGCGTGGAGGCGTGGCCTGGCCCACGTGATGGAGCACTGTGTGCTTGGCCTGGCTAAAGTGTGTGGTAGGAGCTGATAGAGCCAGGCCGAGGCAGGCTTGATGGAGGTTGGCCTCCGTTCTGAAGGCTGCAAGGAGCCTGTGCAAGGTTTGAAAGGCCCTTCAGAAAGCAGCACAGGTGGGGCAAGTAAGGCTGTAGGAGAGAGATCAGTTGGGAAAATGATTTGAGCCAAGATGGCAGTAGAGGGGACGATGAGGAGGGGAGAGATGTGTGGGACTCTAGATGCCTGGTGGCTTCTAGAGTGGGCGTGTGGGAGGGACCCAGGGGTCTTTCAGGGAACTTTCTGGCTTGGGGAGCTGGGTGCCCATGACTGTGATTGGGATTGCAGAATGAGAAGCAGGTCTGGGGAGGTTGGTTACCTGTGTGAACACTGGGAAGAGCATATAACTAGATGCGAGTGTGGGCTTTTTGACTCACCTCGGGAAAGTTTCCAAGCTCAGGAATGATGTGGAAAACCTGGAGCCTACTTGGTTGAATACTCTCCTCCCTTCCTCTCTGTCCCGCCTGGAACGTGGCGTTTGTGATGGCAAAGAGACAGGGTCTGGGTGTGGTGGAGGCAGCACAACCCTCGCCCAAGATTTTGGAGCATGGATGAATGGATAACTTTACCATTACCTGCTGACCTTTTAGCCTGCCTTCCCTCTTTTGAGAACTGATTTCTTTGCAGGGAAGAAGGGATGATGGCTTGTGTCCTCCTTTGGTATCAAGAAATATTTTTTTTATTTATTTTTTTTTTTTTTGAGACAGAGTCTCGCTTTGTTGCCTAGGCTAGAGTGAGTGCCGTGGCGTCAGCCTAGCTCACAGCAACCTCAAACTCCTGGGCTCAAGTGATCCTTCTGTCTCAGCCTCCCAAGTAGCTGGGACTACAGGCATGAGCCACCATGCCCGGCTAATTTTTTCTATATGTATTAGTTGGCCAATTAGTTTCTTTCTATTTATAGTAGAGACGGGGTCTCGATCTTGCTCAGGCTGGTTTCGAACTCCCGACCTTGAGCAATCCGCCCGCCTCGGCCTCCCAGAGAGCTAGGATTACAGGCGTGAGCCACCGCGCCCGGCCTGGTATCAAGAAATATTTTTGTAAGTTAACAGAGGGCAAATCAATTATGGGCAGATTGAAGAAAAGTTGTGCATCTGAGAGCCTCCTCTGTGCTGCCACACTCTGGCCTGCCTCGCACAGCTGTGCGTGTCGTTCCCTGCACACAAGCTCCCAGTGAGTAGGGATGACTGTCCAGCCACCTGCACCTTTTTCTAATTTGCACCCAGTCCCCATGAAGGGGTGGAGGCTGAGGCCAGGCAGAACTGGAGTGGAGGTGCCATCACTGTCCTCTGCGAGGCCACAGCTGCCATCGTCAGTCCTCAGTTGTGCGTATCTTTCTTGCCTGGTCTTAAACACCTCAACACGTTGCTATAAGCTGCGGCCTCCAAGTGATCGTAGAAATTGCTTTCCCTTGCCGAACTTTAATTGTCAAAGGATGTTGTGTTGGATGGTCTTTTAAAGCCATCTCAGCCCTGATGTCTGATTTCTAGTCAAACTGCTGACAATCCTGCCTCTCCCCTAGGTTCCCTTTTATGGGTGATATAGCTCCAAGGAAGAATTCTTGGGCTTTAAAAGTGGCCCCTAGCACAGAAGTGGCTCCCCTTTGTCTTGGGAATGTGGCCTGACCACATGGCAGAGGCAGGTTACCCCTGCTGCTCTCCCTTGCTGCAGGATTACATGAGGACACTTCTCTGACACTGTGTTGAGATGTATTTTTGGAGGCATTAAAAGCATTCTCAATCATCTGCCCTTGTTAGGGGTGGGGACTGTGTGCAGCACAGTGACACGCAGGAAGCCCTTGATATTACTCATTTAGCTACAGGCCCCGGTCAACCACTGAAGCCATCGCTAAAGGTGGTTGTGATAAGTGGAATGTTTGAGAAGCTGCCTGTACAGAGCCAGACACAAGTATGCGCTTGGTGGGGGCTGTCACTTTATGCTCCTCAAACATCCAAGCCTCCTAACTCTACCTAATATGAAATTAATGACCTGGTGCCCCTGCGACAACCTTGTCTTTCTGGGCGCTGGATGGCTGTCGAGGAGTGGAGCGAGTAGGGGGGACGTGCAGAGCACTTCAGTGACCCTCCATCCTGTGCCCTGGCTCTTCCTGGGCCTGCTCCTGTGTGTTCCCAGAATCCCCACTGTGCTGCTCCACTGGGGCTTCCCTTCCAGCCTTCAGAGCCCATCCTTTGTGCTCTGAGCTCCTCAAGGCCCTTCTTGGGGTAACCTTTGCTGCCGCTGACCCCTGACCACATCCCAGGGCGTGGGCCCCCTGTTCGAAGCTCTGCAGCCTCATCCCTGGGTTTGTGCCCTGGTCAGCCCTTCACTGATCCGTGCAGTTTCCAGTTATTCACTGTGTTATTGATCAGAGTACCAGTTGGATGATCGGTTTATCATGTATTTATTTTGCCCCTGCTATGACTGCACTGGTGTGAGGAGGGAAGTTTGGTGAAAGCGTCACCTGGTTCCAGGTCAGGTTGGATGTGTCTGGGGTATGAGAGCCAACGGTAGGAAAATAGCC